TTGTGTGTGAAGGAATGGCAAGTTAACACCCATGTCTGAACACCCTGAATGGAAGCATTGTGTCTGAACCTTCCTCAGGCTCACCCAGTCTCACCCGCGCTTTCACCCTCCCTCCACTTGCTGCACCGATTGCGTCGCTGTTATATGATTAAAAAAAACATGAATATCATCAAACTTAAACTCAACAAACTGCAGTATCTTTGGCTGATGTTATCCACGATTTTCTTTGTCTTATTTGTTTTTTAAGCACCTCACAGTGAGCTGAATGTGTCTTTGTAGCTGGCATTTGACAGAAATTTGGGGCTGGTGAGTGTACGGCTGCGAAAGGAGGCCCCTGCAATTCATTTTTCTTAGAGAAAAGAACAAAGAAGCACACAAAGGACCTTTTTGTATTAGCATGATATTAGGATTCTGAATACTTTCAGAATGTTTCAAGATGCTCCAAGACAAAGAAGTCTGTGTGTAGATGGAGTTATTACCATTAATGTTATTAAGAGTAGAGGTTAGGCATGAAATTATAAACCAAGACGTTTTATATTTATTTACAGCATTTATAATGTGCAGAGAAATGGCTGCTTTTGTGCTGCATGTTGAACATTTTTATTTTTTTATTTTTTATTTTTTGTTTAGCAGCGAGCGCCTCGGGGCGGGTTACAAAAGAGCAAGTTGGTGTTTTCTTCCCACATATTTTTAATCAAAGTGTTAGTGTTTACATTTGCATTTGCATTGAGCAGAGGGATACTGAATGCTAAAGGTGAGATTTTGAAAAACACTCTATTTTCCTTTTCTTTTTTTTTTTCACAGATGGAAACAAGGGTGGGTGGCTGGAAGGCTGGATAAAGGCTGGTAGATGACTGAACTCGGAGACCCGGTGCAGCTCATCATCATTGCCAGCGGCTCTCTTCTTCTTCCTCCCCTCCCCATGGCTCGTACCTCCATCCAAGAAGGTCTAGCAGAGCCATGCTAAGCCCAGCCGGGGCTCTAGTGAGTGGGCTGGGAAAGATGGAGAAGGTCCCCGAAGGCTAGAATCACCTCTGGAGCTACCGACATGCAGGAGAAATCAATATGAAACACAGAGTCATCACAGCTTTGAGTGAGGTTTCCTATTTTTCCCTTTTTTTTCTTTTTTTTTTTTTTTTGAGTGTGTGGCCTAAAGGGCCGGCAGACCTCCAAAGGACACTCCCTGCGTGGCTCTTCTCAGCTGCAGCCTCCAGCTCCTTACTGGACCTTGGTCCTGATCTCCACTGGCTGTGTGTGGTTCTGCTGAAGGCTGTTTCTCTCCCAAATGTTATCCACCATGTCAAAAGACCGCTGAGAGGCATGTTCCTTTCTCTCGTTTTCCTCCCTCATCATGAGATTGACATATCCCACCACCTTCTGCCTCTGGCAGTCAGCTTGGAACTCCTGCTTTTGACTCACTCTGCAACTTTCACTCATCTGCTGCTTATTCCCCGACTGGTTTTTACAATTGACAAACAGACACTGCAATCTTTATTTTTCCCCCCTCTGCTGTTGACTGCGATGACCTGCAGACACATGTCTTTCAAAAGTACAAACACAGCAAGACAAAGCTTGACTGTATTTTTTTCCTCAACAACGCCTATTAGTAAATTTCAAACAGTAAATAATCATGGACTGAAAAGCTGGCTGTGAAAGACCTCGCAGTGGAGACAGTAAAATGGCAAGTATTTCTTTATAATGCTCCACATTATGAAGAGAGAGAGAGAGAGAGAGAGAGAGAGAGAGAGAGAGAGAGAGAGAG